TCCATCTCAACTTTGTTAAACAAAGGAGGAACACATGCAAACGTCCGAATGCTTCTCAGGACTTCAGTGCTTCAGCAAAACAAGCATACAAGTGCACAGCCACTCTGCTCGAACCTCAGTACGACGACACGAGCGAAGCGAGAGTCGGCGGCCAATGTTTAAAGAGCAAACTCAGAGAACACGCACTCTTCAAGAATGCTCCTAAAGCATCTCGAGTGCTTCTGCTCATCATGCACACTCCAAGCATCTCCGTCAAGCTCAAAGCAAGAAACACTTTCAAGCCAAGCTCCAAACATGCTATGTCCATGCCTGTTTCTGCTGACACCAAACAAACGGTTCAAGCACAGCTCTCAACTCACGCAATGCAAACTCATGGTTCATGTCACATGTGCAAGACATCCTGTCAACTGTAAAGGCACTCACAAGGAAGTCAAACACTTTCACAGAAGGGAGAGTGGTTTTCCCGAAGCGCCCTTGACCCAACAGCAAGCTGGCAGATCAGGTCTTGATGGCTGGCCTCTGCTGTGGCATCAATCACTTGTGGTGTGTGCAGGGACCCCTTGCAGTTTTGTCAAGCTTTCTCTCATCTTAACACACCCCTTTGACTAACCCAATGTTCCATACCAACCTACTACCACTCCAACCTTCAAACCACCCCAAACCCTATAGGAAGACCAACTAGCAAGCCCCCACTTAAGACCCACATCAACACCCACATCAACACCCCCAAAAGCCAAATACACTTACAAGAACCATCCCCCAACCTCCAATATGCTTTGATCAACTCAATCAGATATTTTCAGATGCACCAAAGTACAAAAACTAACCCCCCAGACGCACTGAGAGACCAACTTATCAAATTCACCAGAACCACGGCCCAAGACCTCTTGAAACATGCCCCACTACACGCGAATTAGAAGGTCTACGCAAGCTCACGACACATAGACGGTGGTCCAACGGGTGAAAGGGAAGCTTCGTAGGTGGATTTTAAGATCCACCGTTTTCACAAGCGGCCTTTGCAAATCAGGGCGCGCATGATGAAGGCTGCAGTCCAAACAATCTGGTCGATGGCCCGGAGCGTGAGCTTGTCGGCACTGTTGACCCCATTTTCGGCCAAGTCATCGATGGGCCTTAGTTTCCCTCTTTGATCCACTGCAAATCGACGGACCGGACTATGAGCCCTTGAAGTAGTGTTCGAGTTCGCCAGGACCGAGCTGGGTCCAGCCACTCCTTTTCCGCAAACTCAGCATGCGTGATGTCGAAAAGATCTTGCTCATGGGGATTTGCCGGGCTTTGGGCTGTTTTATCCCACAAGAGGGGCTTCAGGACCTCAGTCTGTTCCTCAGTTCTGCCGGTTTAGCCACAAGACGGAAGCCGCTATCAAGAGACTTCTTACCTCTTACTACGCTTGCCACGGAAGGGTGGAGGACGCTGCAGTTGTTCCTCGCGCCCCTCAACTCCTGAGCCCACTTCCACCTGCGTCGAACAACAGTCAAAAGGACCATCAAGGAGCCGGCCTGGTCAGGTAGGGCTGTGGCTACTGAGTACTCTGGTGGGATTAAGGTTGAGGCATAGGTTGTTATGGTTTGGGTCTTCGGGTGAGTCTTTCCTAGGGTTCTACCTATGGGTCTTCGGTGGGATTAGAGTTGAGGTGTAGGTTGTTATGGTTCTTTGGGTTTTCATAGGGGGTGGTACACGAATTGTGAAAATTAGGGTGATAATGCGGGGGCTTGACGATACTTTTACCTAAATGGAAATGGCCATCGCTAACTACCCCTCCAAACTCAGCAGTTTTGGAAATGCTGTCCAACGCTTGCATGACTTCATCCTGTTTAGGTATTGCTTCATTAACGTTCACTTGAAGATCAGTATATTGGGTGCATCAACAGACCAAACGGCAATATTTGGGCTGTTCACAGACTGGCTGACAATTACCTTAGTGGCGTTCTTTTGCAGTGTAATAGGGATTGGAATCCCCGCACGAATGTGTTCAGTGACAGCAACTTCAAGCTTGGTAGGTGCAGTGATGATCCGAAGATTACCAAGGTGGAAGGCATGGATGATAGAGTGCTGCTTATTGAGGATGTGATTGATTTGAAAGGCTTGTATTATTGTCACGTCTGTAGGGAGTCTCAACATAGGCAAAGTTAGGACATGCTGAAGCCTTTGACGTGGCAATGAAACCCATGTTTGCAACTCACGTTATTTGCTTCTGATGGAAAATCTTTGGTAGCTCAAGCGCACAAGTAGCTCGGTGCTGGCCTTCCGCAAGCGCGAAAATAGGGGATTTTTTTTGCAACTTTGACAGTACCACATTTATTGATGAGCTGATTAATCTGTTGGTCAAAAATTGCCACAGTGCCTTCAACATAAACAAGAATGGGCTCTGACGCTTTTGGGGTTGCAGGTCCATGCAATGGGCTCTGACTCATTTGGGGTTGCAGGTCCATGCACAAGCTGACGAATAACCTTGATGCTACCCGGTTCCCGTTGTTTATCGAACTTGAGAAGCACGGCAAGCTCTCGTGTTGCCTTCTTTTCACTGTCTGTATAGGAAAAGTGTTCCAAGCAGTGCACTCGGGGTCTGCTCAACTTCCGATAGAGTGCAGGGATACCGCCTGTGTTGTAGACATGATCTTGGGCGGATCAACGCCAATGCTGTCGCTTCTGGCTTTGGACAGCCTGCCAATGTCATCTCTAAAGTTCCAACGAATCGTCTGGGAAGGTTATCTTCGACTGTGACAACAGATGGCTTGGTGGAAAATAGCACCTTTGTGTTTGTAATCTGTTCACTCGCAAGTCCAAAAGCAATCCTGTAAGATTTTTCGGCAACACGCTGGAGACGATACTGTGCGAGCTTTGTGAAAAAGCTTTGTACCACAGGTTTGCAGTCCAAAAGGCCTTCCGACCTTCTGTCGTGAGCACAAAAAGGCAGCACCCAAATTATTCCGAAGCTATCCGACCGCTGAGGCGTGCTGTGCAGTAAAATTGAACCGCGGGGGGGTGGGTGGGGTGTATTGGGGGGTGGGAGGGCTGGAAGGGAGTGGGGGAGTGGGGAGTGGGGGGGGGGGGGGGGGGGGGGGGGGGGGGTGGGGGGGAGTGGGGAGGGAGGATGGGGAGTGGGTGGTTGGGGAGCGCAGAAGCATGTCGTGATGCACTGCGGGTGAAAAGTGCTGGAAGTGGTCCAGGTTGGGGGTTTCGAGCCCGAAACCTGGACTTGGGAGAAGAGGGCAAAAAAGCAAGGAGTTGGGGGGGGGGAGGGGGGAGTGGGGGGGAGTGCGGGGGAGTGGGGGGAGTGAGGGAGTTGGGGAGTGGGGAGGGGGAGTCGCGGGTTTGGGGGCACCGGAGCCCTCAAAACACTGCATTTCCTTGTATTTTCATTATTAAATTGTATGGTCTTTTAGTATCTTGCTTACGCGCCTATAGCATACATGAAAAGGGCGCGCGTATTTCGTTCTCATTTCGTTCTTACAATTCACGCGTTCGTTTGCTTCGTTCACTCGCTTGTAATTGTATTCACTTCGCTCATGTTGTGCGCGATAAAAGAATTCGCGAGCGTGAATACAAAAAGGAAAAAGCAAATTATAAGAGTGTGAATGTAGTGAGCCCGTGTACTTTCGTAAACTCACTCACTGTTCTCACCTTCTAATTTCATAAGAGCCGTACAAAAGACCTTAATTTTGGTCCCTTTGAATCAGACCTTTGATGCAGTATTAACAAAGGGAGAAGAGGTCCTAGAAAGATAGGTGGTTAAGAGAGATCAATTGGATTACAAACGAGTGAAACGAGTGCGTGAATCTAATGAGCGAACGAATGAACCGCCCCCGGGATACAATGAACAAGGGTGAATAACCACCATCATTGAGACGCATTATTAACCTAGCTCGTTGGCCCTTTTAATGCACTCCTTTCAATCACTTCCAGGCGATAATATATGTACTAATACTGCTTCGGGGAAAAAGAGAATACGAAGTGAATAAATGAATGAGGGAACGAGTGAACGAAGAGAACAAGTAAACGAAATGAATGCGAGAACGAAGTAAAGAGGGAGGAAAGACAAAGGCAATTTTCTCATTTTGCATGCGTGATACAAAATATAGTCATTAGTGCGCACACACTTTCATTTATGCGCAAAGAATATTAGTACTACTGAAATACTATTTATAAAAGGGGTTATTAATCCAAACATAAGATTACATGTGAACGATAGTAATTCAATGGACACAAATGAAGGTGGCTTTTGTTAGTCTTTGTGCTCACTACATTCATTAACTTGTTCACTTCGTGACACCACAAAATATGAATAAGCGAGCGCCATAAAGGGTTGGGGGCAGCGGGGAGGGCCGAGCAGCAGCGCAGGTTTGGAGAGGGTAGCGGGGGACGGGGAATACGGGCACAGCGGGGTGGGAAAAGGAGCCCTTAAGACACTGCATGTCAGATCGTGGAGGGTGTGGAGGGGGTAGGGGGCAGCGTGGGGGCGCTGGGGTGTTTAAAGGGGAGCTGGGCGCTGGAGTTTTTCCAACGGACCAAGCGACATGTCTCTTCCATAAGGGCAGGCACTATGAAGATCTTGCGGAAGTTGCAACGCTGCGAATGCAGGTTCCTGTTCCGAAAGAGGCATGTCGTCACCACGATAAATGGTCATGTCGATATTCCGCACGTTAGGCTTGAATTGTTGCCCGGCAACTTTCGTCGCGTACACCGTCGGAGTGAAGAGAACCAACGCGAGGACATGCAAGCGTAGCAAGCACACCTCTCAAATGCAAAGCTGTCGCCTAGGTTTGTGCGGTTTATGGTTCAAAGTTGGCAAGTCGTAGCATTACCAGGCATTCTGTCACAGCGGTTTGTACATAAAGGCGGCCACAGTCTTCATGTACATAACATGTTATCGGTTACAATCGAGTTTCAAGAGAGTCGTACATTGTGGTTGCTCCGCGAAAAAAACCATTGAAAGGCAACTGTTGTGAGTAGATGTTTGGTTGGTCATCCCTGTGTGGCGTATGGCCGATGGACCTTTACCGGCACCACCACGCTACATCGCGAGTTTGGCAGCCAGGGGCATAACATTTCCAGTTTTACCTGGAGTGCCATCTGTGCGGCACTTTCATTGAGCACCACCCAGCATGCAAGAGTTGCAAGTTCACCAAGGTGCACTCTCAGCGTGTGTTTCGCCTGAGCTGTGTGTTCTTTCTGGTATGTGCAGTTGGCAGCCTCGTACCGAGCTCAGTGTGATTGCGTTTGTCCGGCACCGAAGTACTGCCTTGTTGTGTAAACCAAGTTGCCCTGTGTGTCCAGCACTTTAGCATCGCGCCACATGTACATGCACAACATTGTTTTGCACAAGACCGTGAGGTACTGTTCTGGCCGATCCTCATCAAAGAGGACTTCGAGGTTTCGGGCTTTGATGCGAGCGCCTTTTTTTGTGAGCCCTGTGAGCCTGAGACATTCAGGCGTACCTTCAATGTGACGGGCCCCAGCATGGCAGGCTCTGTTGTGGACAGAAGCTCGAGGTCTCGAGGTGTGCTTTTTCTTTCATATTCAAGTGGAAGGCTTCACATCCTGAGGGAGCTCAGGAAAGCCCAGGCTCAACCCTCCGGGCCTCCTTCGTGTTATTTTGAGGGTTGATTGATGATCTCGGCGGCCAGCTGCGCCTGTGTCACTTGTGGTCATGCGTGCTGCAGGGGTGACGTCGCAAGTTGTGTTTCCATGGCTCATGGCTCTTGAAGAGAAGTAGATGTCTGGAGATGCCTGGATATGCCTGGAAATATCACATGCTTCTGTGACGTGACATGAGGTGACGATATATGGTATCCTTCCATGCAAGTTGCAGAGTGTCAGGTGCAATCTTACGATGCTAAGCGCACAACACTACAGTAGTTTGGGCTCGGATGCCGGATGTTTCTCCGCTGATGCCCCCCTGGCGTGTTGACGTCTCGTGCTCACAGGGCGATTAGGGGGGCACACGTTGCAGCAATCAGCAAAACTTGTGCAAACCTCGTGTTTGTCATATTTTCTTCTGCAAGGACAGCCTGGGGCCGGGAGTCCTTGCAGCGACATCAACATAGGTAACGCGCTTGAAGCCCAGCCGGGGCCCAGCCCACCTTGGCTGCTTCGGTCTGAGGTCCTAGAAGACAGAAGGCCATCCTAGAAGGTCGCAGCATGCTGAAATCACTTCCATGACCCTTGACTCACACATGCTGGATCACCTCTTCTTCGTGCCGCTGCTTCTAGCCACGGTGCCAAGGGGCTTTGTATCGGTAGGGGTCAGCTCGTATCTTTTGCAGAGTTCAAGGGCTAGTTTGTTGTGACAATTGTGCGCCGCCCTGTATTGCGCTTTGCGGCGCCCTGCTGCCCGACATCGCCAAGATGTTCTCCGCACAGAAGTGGGCCGACATGCTGCGGTCTCGGCTAGGCAACAGTTGTCCTTCATGTCGTGCAAAACCTGACATCCAATCCATGTCTTCGGCGCTGAGGCGGCAGATGCAATTGAATTACAGGCAAGACCTGCAGGACCATCATCATCATCATCATCATCATCATCATAGCAGACGCTTTACATGAGTGTGTGCTGAGCAGTGTGGCCCAAACATTTTCTTCCCGAGAGCCGTTAGTGCAGGAACGACAGACACGCTTTTCAAGAAGCTTATGGAGTCCAATATGGTCCAATGGTCCCCACTGCTTCTGCAGGATCCGGCAGTTGACACTGGCCGCACACAGCGTGTCGCAGTGCTCACCTTAGAGCTCAGAGCACTGCGATGTGCCCTGTGCTCTTTGATGCTCTTTGCTTTGGAGAAGTTCTTTCTTTTTTTGTGAGATCGGCCTGCTCGGCCTCGCCCTTTTCATCGGCATCGTTGCTTTGGGCTCGCAGCCGGCGTGGGGCCCCAGATGCGGAGCCCAGAGCACAGTCAGATTGTCTGTATCACACAACAAAATTGAGCCACAACTGCAAAAAGAAATTGCACAAGACGGCTCAACCCTTCCCTTTGAGGGCAGCCCAGAGCGAGCTTCCGCCAAAGACGTCGTCAAGTTCACCGCGCCTCGGGGGCTATGGGGGGCTGTCTGACACCGGTCATGTTGGGCAGTTGGGGCACTGAGGACAGCATATCACAGCATAACACAGCTCTCATGGTTTGCACAATTTTGGCACAATTTTGCACAGGCTGTGGCTGGTGAGAAGAAAGGCACCAACGTGGAGGAGAGGGAGAAGGCAGGCTGAGGGGGCTTTCTTTGCAGCACGCTCTCTGTCGATTTATCGATGTCTGAACACAGCATGCCCCGCACCAATGATGCCAATCAAGTGTTGGGTTGCGTTCAGGATCAGCAGTTTTGTTCGTTTTCTGTTCAGCCCTTCACTCACGTAGAAGTTTTGAGTGAATCAGCAGCTCTGGAGTTTTTGTTGCTGCTAAAGAGGGACGAGTGCTGAAGGTATGGCAAGTAGAGTGCACTGGATTGTGCAGGTGTAGGTGTCTACTTGTGTCTTCGAGGGCCAAGCCTTACGACACGACATACCTTGCCCGGTGATAGTATGCGACTTGCGCAAGCATATTGTTGGACTCTGAGTCACTGAGCGTTCCATACGTACCAGCATGGGGCATGGGAGCAAAGGAACCAGATTCGCATCGCGTTGAGCATTCGTTCATATTCGTTCCATGACTCGTTCCATGGAGCATGAGAAAGGGTGCCCACACGAAATTGGTAAGCGAAGTGGATCGCTCCTGCCAGATGTCCATGGAGATCCTGGACATGCAGTCAGAAGTTTCGAAGGTCCAAGCGACACTTGATCACCTCCGGCTCCCCGGCGCTTTCAGTAGTGGTGTCGTGCATGCAAGACCCAACATATCGAAAACCATTGAAATGCTCTTCGGACCACGTACTTGTCGAAGACATAAGGCTTCCTTTTCTTCATTTTTTTTGTGGCCCGATTCTTTGCTGTTTTGTTGAACGCAGGGTGAACGGACTCCGAGGTCGGCCGTGGATTCCTGCGGTGACACAGGTGAGGAATGCGGGCGGCCGAGCCAAGCCTGGCTTGTCATGAGCTTCATTTGGCTTCTCATGGTATCCCTGAGGGTCCGTTATCTAATCTGATGTGGCCTGGTTTGGGCGAGCCATCTCGTTGGGTCAACCAAGGTGCGCACCCTCGGCAGTGCCTGCGTCCCAGATATGTGAGTGGAGATTCGCCGATTCGCGGACCGTTGATGATACGGCACGCCCCCCGGTGCGCTGAGGCTGTCAGGGTGTACAGTGCTGTGCCGACGGCACACAGTGCTGCGACAGCATCTCCGGCATGTGTTCCTTGTGGAGTCGTCTTCGAGTGCTTTACTTGTTGCGGGCAGCTCTGTTAGTTGAACTCTTTTGTTGGCTCCTTCAGGTGGCAATTGCTGCGCTGCCAACGACGTGTGCTGTCATGGAGGATGCTGCAGCCAGGGCAACGTTTGCTGCCTGGATCCAAGAATTCAAAGAGTCGTCAAAGAGTCGAAGGTCCATGGCATTGCTTGGGACAACCTTCAGTGCTCAGGTGCCAACGGTCTCTGCGGTGCTCCTGGCAGCAGATGCCAGGATGGCCTTGTCCTGGCCCCACCAATAAGTGTAACTGCCGCTCACGCAAAGGCGCGGAGGGGGCTTCTACAGGAATCTTGAAGGTGTTGTAAAAGCTTTCTCTCATTGCCTTTCAAGAAGCGCTGTTCTCATGGAACTCGATTGTCAGCAAGAACCCTTTTGGATGCCGTTTTTTGCTTCAGGAAGCCGTTGAAGGCGCCAAGAAGGTGCTGGAGAAAATCGAAAGCGAGGCGTTCAAGGCTCGATGTTGCGGCTCCGTGAGCTCCGTGCGAACGAGTGTGAATACAAGCAGTTACAAGCATATGCGTATTTTTCTTCGTGTGTGTTCACACGTCTCAAAACGTCTGAAACAACACACGTGATCTGCTATACTGGCAATTTCTGAATTCAGAATTCGCCAGTATGTTACAGAATGTCCGGTCGGATCCAAGACTTGGATTTCAACGTGTTCTGTGAGTCTTGCGCAAAGCGCTCTCTCGCTGCTTGTTCCTTACTTTTCCAAGTCAAGCCGATGTGTAAAGTGTTGTGAAGGCACAAGCAAACGCAAGGCACTGGGAAATGCTCGGACTCATGCGCTCCATGAGAAGCCGCAATGCTGCAAAACCTGGAATCAGGAACATGGTATTCAGCTCGCCCCATGATACGCCAAACCGGAATCAGGAGCACTTGGCGTTCACCATTCGCTGGAATCAGGAAGCGTGAACACCAAGCTAAGGTTCGAAAGTGACGGAAGCTTCGAGGATCGAGAAACGAACAATAAACAAAGCTTGAAAAGTGACGGCGCTCGCACTGCGGGTCTGGTGGGGCTCCTTCCCGCCCCCGCCAGACGACGGGGAGGATAAGGGGAAGGGCGGGAAGCGAGAGAAGTGGCCCTCCCAGAAGAAGCGAAAGGACCGCGGGTCATCGCGGGCGGGAAAGGCGGAAATTGGGACCTGGGCCCAGGAGCCTGACTCTGACTACGACAGTCGCGAGGATGGCGCACCGCACATGCCTCGTCCTTGTGACTGTCTGCACTTTTTGAAGCATGCAATGACCAACACCATGCCAAAACGCTTGGTTTCCACCCCTGGTTTCCGCAACTGCAGCTCGGGAGCGCTTTTGGACGCTCCGCACGCCCTCGCACGCTTTCGGACGCTTTGCGAACATCAATTGCAAACGCACAATTCCCAGAAGCGCCCCAAATCGGGATAATATGAAAAACTGGGACACTTGCCAGTTGGTCACTCGGATGGGAGAGCTACCGATCTTTTTTTTTTAAATTGGTTTTGTTTTATTGACAATTCGCCACCTGAAGCATTACCCCCCCGCAGAAACAAACCCATAGCTGCCATAGCTTGCTAGTTTCGGCAAGCAGTGGTTTGTTGATGTTCACAAACACAAAAACAATGTGACAAAGCCTTGGAATGAGAGAGGCAATGCAGCAACGTAAAAGACTTATCCCGAAGCATTCGCTCCCGCCCCTGATAAGCACAAAACCGAGAACATGCTAACTTCTGACAACACATTCATAAACGTATAGATGCCAGCCGACTTTTCTATACCTGGTTTCGGTCATATTCTCTGATACCAGAGATAAGGAAAGAGAGAGTGCACTCTCACAGTCCCCCGGATTGACACGTCAACGTAGTTCCGAACTGTTGCCGGCAGGGTATGCAGTGCGGTGTATGGCAGTACCGAAATAAAAGTTTCGACAAAGGCCCGGAACAATCTTCTGGGTGCCAACCCCTGCTTGTACATCAACAAGTTCTGGGCAGATGATCTTCGTCCGGCGGTGCCGTTTCATTCAAGAAGTCAGTAAACAAGAGCTGGCCACGCCCCAGAAAAGGCAATTCTGAGTGCATTGTTTCTAGAGCAGCCTCAGGAACCTGGCCATATTAAGTGCTTTCCAGGCCTGTTGATTGAGTTATGTAAGGAATTCGTCATTTGTTGTTGGTACGTTCTTCTTTGCGTGTTCCTGACTTGTCCTAAGTAGAGACGAAACAGAAGCACTGGAAACATATTCCAGGTGAGTATGAACATGTATGAACATGTATGAACATGTATGAACAACATCTTGCATTCATTCAAAGAGAGCTGGCCATCCCCTGTGTGGGTTGCATTCAAAGACTATTCATACGGACTTTAAACACATGGTCGCGCTCTCCCACATTTGTTTTGGCCTTCTTGCTTGAGTTTTAGGAGATATTCGCATAGAGCTAGATTTTCATTTCTCATCACGAAATGTACTTAGTTTCAGTACTCGGAACTTATTTCTTCCGGAAGGCGAAGGTGAAGGGGTGTGCGGGGGAGTGCGCATATGTACATATCACTGGAACACATATGCACGGCTTGTCTAGACGAAGCCAACTATTGTTCGTTCTGCTCCGGTTCCACTGGAAAGACGAAAGCCTCACAAGAAGAGCCCCGCGAAAGTAAAGTAAAGGAAGTTGGGACGGGGGAAGGGGGAGACACAGGGCTGAGCCCGTTCGCTTGCAGGCAGAAACCTGGGTCAAGAAGCATCCGCTGCCCAAACCGTCGACGTGACTTTTGAGGTCGGGCTGGAGATGTCTTGGGATGTTGTGGTCGAGTCCTTTTTCTGCCAAGGTCTGGCGCTTGCCGGCAAAACCGCCGGCACGCCTTCGAATGCAGCTCGGGACTCGGGAAGTGATAGCGACCGCTGGAGTCTGAGTCCCATGATCAGCGGCTTATGTGTTTCCACTTTTATGTTTCCACTGGAGGTGGGAAGGTCGGAGGGGCTGTCAACCTGGCCAGCCCTCTCTCAAACGGTAGGTGTGCATCTTGCTACTTTGATCGCTGCTCTTGACTGCTCTCCAACTGTTTCCGGTGGACACTGTGTCTCGGGCCTAACAGTCTCAACTCGTTGTCCCGATATGTCTCCATGAAGTCCCGACCCAACCTGGTCCGGAGGCGTCACTGTCTGCAGCAAGTGCTAAAGACTTTAAAGACCCAAGCAATTCCCACCGTGAGGCCCCGATGCCACCCTGATTGTGGTGTAACAGGAAGACCCACGTTTTCCAGATGCTGAGGCTTTCTGATAATAAATAAAAGCACCCTTATCGACTAGCCGTGACGCACCACAGCTTACGTGAGTTCTGGGATCCCGGGGGCTGTTTCATCCAGCCTTTGCGGAATCAAGGTCATTCCTTGGAGACTGCCGGGCACGTGCCCTCGAAGCTCAGAGCTCACTGAATTGGGAGGCGCTGGATAAAACTCCAGGCTCGCCACAGAATCTGCATTTGTTCCTTTGCGCTTTCCGTTCCGAGTCCCAAATCAGGTTGAAGATGGCTGAAGCAGTCGTTGTTAAAGACGTAAGGACCGTAAGGAGGTACCTGTCTACGCAACCTGCGAGTCTTCATCCCTCTGTGACTTTTGCAATCTTCGGCCTGTTCGAGTTGAGCATTTGCAGGGAGCTGCTCTCGCTTGCTGTGTTGAGTATGAGCAAAGTACAAGGACCTCTAGCCCTAGCAGGGCTAGCGGCTAGAGAGAGCACCTGTGCAACGATCCAGAAGCTGAAAGTACATGACTTATGCTCGACAAGATGCCCGTGTCGGATGCGGAGACAGCGCGTTCAGACACATTGCAGGAACGCACAACTTGCACGGCTTCAAGTCCCAGTGAATGCCGCACACGCAACTAGTTGTGGATCGTTCATTCTGCTTCAAGCATTGTGCTTCTTGTCGTAGTCAGAGCTGATCCGAGCAAGCCACTGGCATGCACGCAACTGAACCTGTCTTCGTAAGCTACATTCCTGGACTTTGAGCCTCACAGCCATTGTCAGAGCTAGCCTCTTTCCTTTCATGCCCAGCGACACACACAGCACGTACACACAGAAGTCCAACCAAAGATGGCTGGCTATGCGAACACTGCCGTTGCATGTCCGACAGCCACTGCCTCACAAGACGCTTCTCTGCAAAGAGTGATAAGCTGAGCAGTTGGTTGAAAACAAACAGAAGTTGCGCTTTCCCAAACTGCCCTGGGTTGAGGGGTCAGGAGGTCGGTCATGCTCATGAGGCATGAGAAGAAGGGAGCCATCGAAGGGTCCTGGTGCAGGTTAGGCAGTTTGGGCCGGTCTTGTTGGAAATTCACTGTCTGCAACCAAACATAGCAGAGTACGACTCCGCACTGGCGCTTTGCTTGTTACAGGTTCAGTTTCAAGTTTTCAGGCTGAGGATCGAATTGAGATGTGCATGGGGCTGTCGTAGGAATCCAGAGGGGCCATGGCTGATGCTCACGATGCTGGCCTTCTGCCGGGGTTTCCGCTCGTGACGCGCTCCTTCCCCATATTCAGCCTGTTCATCATGCCCGCTTGGCCTTGAGCCTCGTGAAGAGAGAGTCTCTCTTCCTGCGGTGTGTCAACGATTCTTGCCGTTTATTCCGGGCGGAGAATTTCTACTGGTGGGTTGTTGTCGGAATACCTGTAGCATGTGTTTAGCCAAGGGGGCCCCTTTGAAGATTTTCGACCCAGGTCCAAATGGAGGAGTTGCAGCGCCATGCAGCAGCGTTGCGAGAGGAGTTGCAACAGGCAGCCCAGAATGTGCTTGGTTTCCGCATGTTTACCTCCTGAAAAGTGAATATGATGTAAGGTGTGATGGTTGTTAGTTCGCAGCTGATGTTGTGAGGTCGAGGCTGAGATTGAAAGAGAGGAGGTGCCGCGCTTGAGCTGCCTTTCGAATCTTGTGCATTCGGGTAGCACGGGAGCTCGACACGTCGTTCTCTTGTGGTTGCAAGCGACTGAGGCGTTGCTGAGCTCTAACACGGCGCAGCCCAAGCTCCACCATCGCCCCAGCTATTCACTCTTGAAGGGCACTGATGACGCTCGTTTTGAAAATAGCACAGTGGAGGCGGCAAGGCACATCCCATGTTGAAGCCGGGGTGGACTTGCTGTTCAGGATGAGCAGCCCCCTTGCGCGCCGGTGCGTCAAGTCAGTGAGCAGAACTTCGATGAATTGTTGAGGCACCTCGCGGAGAGTTTGGGGCAGCCCGAATGAGGCCGTAGTGTCTTGATGCCTGATGGAAGTGATGGAAGGTCCTTTCCGAGCCTGGAGATATCACCCATTGGGTCCTACAACCACTGGGACCGACGAGAGCCGCTGGGCTCGTGAAAAGGTGTGGGGGCGGTTTCAATCGTGTCTTCACGTCCAGAGGATATGGGCCCTAAGCTTTTGTTGAAGCTTGTGGAACTTGATCCTAACGTCGGCTTTCGACGATCTGAGATGTGCGCGAGGTGTGCCGTGGCCAATGCGGAAGCCTGGAAGGCCGAGTGCTCGAAGTACCAGCAGGTCTGGCACACCCCATGTTCACCACACGAGCTTTGCAAGCAGAAGCTTTTTCTCTTTGTCTGTTCTCCTCGGCACTGCTTTGCTAGAGCACAAGTCGAGGTTTTGAAAGCTGTCGGAGACGTAGCGACAGAGAGTGCTCGGGGGATGAGTGCTCTCGTCAGCTCGTTTTCGCGTTTCGCGGAGGCGGTGCTGAAGGGCAGAGCGCAGATTCCGAAAGTGATCCACCAGATCTGGATCGGCCCCAAGGACGCTGAAATCACCTTTTTGCGGCGGGATAGGGGCGTTTAGGAAGGTTTTGCACATGCTTTGCACTTTGTTGAACCTGTTCTTTTTTAAAGGAGCCTCCCTGCCTTTGGATCGATACCTTCCGCGTGGAATACCTGGCTGCGCACCCGGAGTGGGACTTCCATCTCTGGAGTGACGAGGAGGAGCGAGCGCAAAGCGAGCATGAGAGAATGATATTTGGTGAGTTTATCGTGCATACCCCGAGTGTTGCTTTAAGTGGTTCGGTTCTGATGTGTTCCGATGTGGTGCAAGCGCTGTGAAAATGGTGATGTCCATAAGTCCATAAGCATGCCGTCGACTGTTTTGGCTGGCTTCGTCCACTATACACAGCTTCGCGACGTGTGAGATGAGGGCCAAGACGCCGCAATAGTTGAGGACGAGTCATGGTAGGCTTCCATACCACTGCCCCAAGGGTTTTTTTGGCCGCAACCTTAAAACTTGCAGCTCTGAGGGCCACCACTGCCCAGTACTCGATGATCCCTTACCTACCTATGCATGCGCTCATAATATGGCAACTTGCCAAGATAAATACAACTCTTGCCCTTGTACAAGCAGAGGCACATTTGAGCTCCGTGACACAAACCGGGGGTTCAGGTGAGACTCGGTCTAACACAGAAAGTGACAACATGCATTTGAGGCTATTGTTGATGTTGGGTTGGCAAGTCGTCGTCGTACAAGCGGTGGAACCGGTGGAGTGGGTACTGGCACATGGGGTACCAAGTAAGGCCAGTCAATGCCAACATACGAGTATTACTGTTACTTTGAGCATTGCCCGGGCAACAGCATAGCTGCGACGTTGGAAGGTGGCCAAGCTACCGATGATCAATGACCAGATTTACCATCAGGTGGGGGCGCTTTTGCATAAGTGCTCTGGTCAGGGCAAAAGCCATCTAAGCCATCTTTGGGACTGCTCCTTCTTCTTCTTTTGCGAAATTTCCCCCGAAGTTCCCCCCCTGAGACTTCTCTCGCAAAAATGCAGTGCGGAGGAGAAGATGTGGCAGTGCAAGGCGGACATTTTGAGGCTGGAGTTCCTCTGGCACCACGGAGGCCTCTACGTGGACGCGGCGGCTCGGCGCTCCGAGAGCCCCCCCCTCAAAAAATAGGGCCCCGAGAGGTGGTGTGGTGGTGGTGGTCCCCTACATATGCATTGTTTTTTTGTGGCACAAGTATTTTGCTTCGGTTTTTTTGGCAGCTTGAGGACATGATCTCTGTGGAGCAGATTCTTGAACCGCAACATAGAGAGAGCAAGGATGGCTTGCCTTCCAGAGCTGCTATAGCTGCCATACCACCACAAGGCACCAGCTTCATGGATACTTTGTGTAACTGATTGTGCAACTGCTTGTGTGGCTTAGGAAGAAGCTGGATGGAATCCTGGAGCTGGGCAAAGAGACTGGCTGGGCCATTCGCTTGGAAGTGTAGTCAGTGGAGTGTCGCAAGAAGAGATCTGCAGACCGCAGCTCTTCGAATCGAATGATGGCCTGAGGTCATTGCCTACGAGCCAGACACCAAAGATAAGCCGTATTCAATCCTGGGCAACTCTGTGCACCTTTGGCTGCAAGCCTTCGCTGCATGATTCTACTCTTGCTGCCGCTCGTGCCATGTGCCACTGGCACAGGATTGCGTGCACGCCACACCATCCCCTCACCCTGATGCTGATTCTGTACCTGCCTTAGCCTCTCAGGCATTCATGTGCAATCAGATTCTTGGTCAAGCTTCGCTGCATGCGCTCCCATCTCCCAGATACCTCAAGCAGACGTACCAGCACAAGCGCAACCACATTGAGGCCCGGAAGAACAAGCGAGGACTCGACAAAGAAACTTCTCTTTTTCGTCGCCCCCTGTAGGTCTTCGCCGTGACAGGGCCTGTGATGTACACCAAGTGCCTGGTGGACAGTGGCATGCCCTTCTCCCTCGCACCACAGGAGTGGTTGTATCCGGCCTCTCGACGAAGGGCCAAGTATGGCGAAGTCCAGCTGAGTGTGATGAATGTAATCAACAGGTCATAAAGCTCATTTTTCTTGTGCCTCTATATGTCGCAGATTGCGCAGACCGTGCAGTGGGTTCTCAGGCTTTCCATTTCGTGCCAAATCCAGATGCAATCAACTTCTCTGCCTTCCCAAAGTGCCTCATGCTGCCAGCTCGCAATCTCTGCGATCGATTGGTGACCTGAGCATTAGCCTGCTCGTTTCTTGCATAAAACTTCCGTGCAAAGTGCACCGCACTGAGGTTCCAGTTCGGCTACACGTGCTCCGGCTTGGAAGGTGCCTGTCGGGCTGTACTTAGTGCTGTTCAGAGTCTGGAGCTGCTTCGTCATGCAGGCTATGTGAAATCCAAGAACCGCTGCAAAAAAGTGCTGCCCTCAGACCAAGTTTACCAGTTTGACCGACATTCTCGCTACAGTGTCGTGATAGCACCGCATGCAGAACAGCACTTCTCAGCGAGGCTCGTCAGTGTCCCTTCCATTCCAAGAAGGCTCGTTGACTTCATCTGTTTCATTCTGTTTCTGATGGCATCCACCCCTCTGCAGCATGGTCCAGCTTCCAGCACAGGTTATGATCACTCAAAGGTTTTTCTTTCCCAGGACCAGTCATGACTAGTCCCTGTCCTTCCTAGTTCAGTACAAAGTTGTCTAAGGCCTAAGGTCAGCGTGGGCGTTTTTCAATGTTCACAATGATCATTCTCGTTGAACTTCTTTTGACCAGGTCTGGCCGCTTGGGCCCTTCAAGGAGCTGCCGACTCTGGAGGACCTGGAAGCCAAGCTCCTGGCTTAGCTCATCGCAGACTTTGCGCAGACTTTTCTGGAGTTGAGGGTTTAGGGTGGAGGGTTTAGGGTTTAAGGTTTGGGGTTGAGGGTTGAGGGACTTTATAGACTTTGCGGACTGACTTCAACCCCCCTGAACGGTTCGGAGCACGGTGCCAAATGGCTTCGGCTTACGAGAAGGCGTCTCAAGCACGCGAAGAACCCTGAGTCCTTGAGAACAAAAAGGCGATGCAGGCCACCGCTGTGCCCTGCCTTTGTCTCCGTGTGGTGCGCAGAGAAGGCGCAGAGGCGCAGAGGCGCAGAGTGAGAGAGCGCAGGGAGGCCATGCAGAGGCCTCGAGTCACGGTGTGGACGTGGGGTGGGCGCTGGTGACCGGAACCCGACCGGTAAGCCTTGGACGAATGGCTAGGCTGCTGCATACCTTCGCCTTGTTTTCTTCCTGCCGTTCGCTTCCTTTCTGCATGAGGGGCCAGCTCCTCCTTGGGCTCTTATCAGGGAATCCGCGTCCCCTTGCGTCTGCCAAGCTTTGTCAAGCTTTGCAGCACTGTCTCTACTGCCCCGGCTGTTCAAGGATTTGAGCAACGGGCTCCTTTGTGCGTGGGGTGTGCTCAAGACTTTGTCTTGTGCCTGCGGCGGAAAAGTTCTTGAGCTAGGATGGCTAGGTTTCTTGGGTACCCCTCTGGCTCCGAGGTTTCAGTCCCAGCGCGCCCCCATCCCGAAGGTCATCCACCAGGCCTCTTTGGATTTCCAGACAAAGCCGGTCACGGTTCAAAGGCCTTAAGCGTCACAGCTCAGGTGATTCCAGCAGGCCTCGACACGCACCACGACCCCCAGAGATGGAGGCAGACCTGGTACGACGGCTTCTGCCAAAGCCATCCTGGCTTCAAGTACAGGACGCTCATGAGATGGGCTGTTGAGCACTGCGAATAGGGATCTCAGGGGTCTCGTTTTGTTTTGCAAGGACTTGGACGAAAGAGCAGCTCCAAGGACGATCATGGTGCCTGGGCTGTTTTGGCGCAGCAAGCGCTTGAAGATGCTCTTTCGGTGCTTGCCTTCCAGATGCGCGAGTTTCAGGTTCTGTGCGAATCTCTATGTCGAGCCCTGGGATGACCACGCAGTCACATCCTTGATGATGGAGGTGCTCTTTGAGGTGCAGAGGGGGGACACGATGGTACCTCATAAATCCTCATCATCTTCAAGGGGGGAAGTATGCAAGTGTGTCTCCCTAGTGGCACGGGAGCCCGAATCCGAGGAGTGAAGAAACCGTGACTCCCTCGAATTGGCCAGTCAAAATCAGTCTTCGAGCATGCGTGGCTGAGGAATGTAGATGAACCCCACAAAAACCCACTCAGAAGCCGTTCCCTGACTGGTGTGCGTTTCTGTGCTTTGACCAGGAGGGAGGCTTCTACGTTCCACTCTCCACACTGCACCAGCCTGGCAGTGAGGAGAGGGAGGTGTTGCTCAGTGTGATGGCGAACCCGATCTTCCTGCCAAAGTAAAGCAGTATTGTTGACTGGCAGTACTGCTACCAAAACTAACAGTCACGACTTGTACTCGAGGGCGGCGAGGTTAGCAGGCTTGAGAAATCAGCTCATGCGAACAATGCTTGAGGACCATTTCTTCCTGGAGGCAACGACGGAGGAGGACATTGATTACATTGAGGGCAACGGAGGCGTTTTTGGTGTTGCCAAAGGCACGGCTTGCAGTTGCTGGTGGGGGTTGTGTACGGTGTGTTCTACGCTCTTGTGGGGACCCCTTGAAGGCTCTCCAGAATGCTTCCGAAATCTCATGGACCTCTATGACCGGGGTGCGGTGCCTCCAATGGCGACACCCGGTCCGGATGGGCCCCGAGTTGTGCAGATGGGCTTCAGGGACGGATCCTTGGCAACATGGGACTGTCACAGCGGAATCGATGCTGCCACTGGCTGGTGTCGCAGTGCGTAGGGCGTGCAGGATTGTGCATGGGCCAATGGGGTGGGCAGTCTGAGGACTGGTGTCGCAAGCGCGCTTCTCATCTCAGACCCGATACCTGGGAGCGCCCCAGGCAAAGACTTGTCCAGGTTTCATAGCGGTAGGACCTTTTGTTTGTGTTCTGCCCTGCAGGTGGTCTCCTTCAGCAGCGTATCAGACAAGCGGCTTGAGCTTTCGACGCTGAGCTACGCGTATGACTGCATGGTAGCTCGGACCACTGGATGATCTTGGATGCCATATTGGCAGAAGCTGCCAAGCCACGTTCAGCTGCGTGTCACCATGCTTTTGATGCTCTCAGGTTCCGTGTCTGGCTGTGCGGGGAATCCCTGCCATGAGAGCTGCCGTGGGGGAGATGGGCCACTTGACTTATCTTGACTGGGTTTACCGATTGCCACCAGTGCATGAAGTCCAAGAGATATCGGTTGTGTAGAGAACCAGGTCTCACAAGATTCAACTCATCCAACTGCTTGGTGTGTCGCTTTCAGGCCTCTCCTCAAAGTCGGTGTTTGTGACGGACCGGGAGTTCTTCCAGATGGAGCGTCTACGGGAGGACTGTTACCCACCGTTACCCCTGTCATTACACGGATTCTCACAAAGTCTTCGGCCTCCGACCTCTGTGGCGAGAACTGTTGGTTGACCCTTTCCTCACTTCTGTTCTCCAGTGTTGCTCCTGGCGCTTTCCGCAGCTGTACCAAGTACGTAATTCAGAAACTAAGTAACTAAGTAACTAAGTAAGTAAGTAAGTAACTGAGTAATGAAGTATCTAAGCAAGTAAGTACCTAGCGACTGTCTTGTACGATGCCTTGCTTGAGGAAATGCCGGGATTCCTCGATCAACTAGGCTCGCGATCTTCCCTTGCTGCAGTTCTCACGTTGGATGTTCGCCCACGACCGCAGGGTTCTGTTGTTTCCAGTCGGCCTCTTCAGGCCCTCACGACTGGGACGCGGTTATCCTGGGCCTGGAGTGGGACACTGGAACAGAGGACTCAGAATCGGCAGAGTCTGTAGACACGGGGCTCAAAACTGTTGCTGCTGCTGCACTGCATGCTTTGGCCGCCACATTGGCCATCATGGGAGGAAGTTGTCATCTTCCAACTTGTTCCTGGTACGGCTCCGAGTTAGGGGGCAGCTGTTGCATCGGCCCCCGACAGGGTGAAGACGGGGATCAAGCTGAGGTGGGCGCCCTCGTTGTTGCAAGATCGCGGGCTTCGTGGCCAACTTCGGCTGCGCACCCAACGAGGCAGCTTTGCAGGCAGCGTTGGCGAGATGCCTGACTGAGGACGCCTGGGGGAAAGCAAGGGGCAATTGAAGCGAAACACAGCATCAAGTGTTGAGATAGTGTGGAGATGGTGTGGAGATAGTGTGGAGATGCAGGAGGACTTCGATCCGACTCCGCTCTTCGAAGCTGCGGGGCAGCTGAAGCTGCGCTTCCTCGCTGAGAAGTACGCAGGCAGTGAAGAGCGTGAGAAAGCCTTGAGAAGAGATTGAGATGCACTTCAAGTGGCATAAGAAAGGTACCCAAGATGTCACAAGCGCCTCAGTTCTGAAGGTAGCATGGAGGAAGCCCGGCTATTCCGGAGCATGCCCCTGGTTCACCGCGCCTTCAAGAATATCTGTGGCCATGCTTGCTGGTTGCAGAATGTCGGACTGCTGGGGGTTGCTTGAAGAGTCATGGTGGCAGCTAAGGAGCCCCCGATGCACTTCGATAACCATGAGCTTCATGGGAACTTGATGAAGGGCTTTCAGAATGGAGCCTCGGACAGCAAAGATGCGTTTTTCTCCTCTCCTCTGCACCGCGTCTGTGTCCGTCCGGTGTTGGCTGCAGGCAACTTACGCTTTGAGATGATCTTGGAGCCGAACGGTGGGATCATGTTCCGGTGCTGGAACGATGACAACTCCACCAACTCAGAGGTTTCCTGCCCCGATCTCTGTTCCGCAGAATCAAAGCCTTGTGTTTTTGGAATCCTGAGGTCAAGATGAGCGACAGCGTGGTCGAGTGGCTGAAGGTGTACTTCAATCACCAGGAGCGGGGCCCGAAGCTGTAGGTGAATTGAGGAATTGGCTGATTTCCGGGGCCGGCGGCCAATCTGATTCTTCCGACCGGTTTAGTGCCTTCACGTAGTTTGCTTTCAGTGCCCAGCTGTTCTGCAGGTGTGCAAAGAGATTCGAAATGAACCCGTTCCATGAGCTGGCGATCTTTGTGTCACAACTCGACAGATGCACAGATGGATTCACTCCGGGCCCGGGAGGCTGGGCTTCCCGCTTCCCGATGAATTCGGATTTTGAATCTTTGTATTTTCCATTTGCAGGCGTGAGCCTGCACCCAACCTGAACCCGTTAATACGACGTGGCGTTTCACTGGCGTCCCTCTGACCTAGGCTCGCCGGTTCGCCCGAGTTACAGCTAGATTCTAAGATTTTCTTTGGCAGCTTCAGAGCGGCTTCCCGAACAAGGTGCCCACATGTGCACAGTGTGCCCTATCCTGTGACGCTTGATGCCACCGAAGTACTGGTACATTCTGGCACGGATAAGCTGTACACCACTGGCCGAGGCCGGAGAAAGGAGACGCAGCGCCCTCGCCACCGGCTGACCGGCTGACGCTCTTTGTGGAAGCTTGTAGGGTGTGTGCGTGTATGTCTGTGTGCCTTGAAGGGCTGAGTCACAGTACACGCGAAACGACACTAGCTTGCGTCGGATATCTGAAGTGCCTGGGGCACTATTCGACCGCTAGGCAGCGGCAGTCTTGCTGTATTGCGGAGGAGGCCGACGGCAAGCAGATGCCTGTGTCGAGCGTTGTCAGAGCTGCACGACGCATTCAAGACATCCACATGTCACATTTAGAAGCTCGACGCCATGCAAACAGCATCGATAAGAACCTGCTGCCTCATTCAGCCAGTTTCTGGTGGGTGTCCTTGTGCACACCGTGGATGCAGCACTTGCCTGGAAGTCACACAGTTTCTCAGAAGCAGCCATTAGGGCGGCCCCCCACCCCGTGAAGCTCAACATGGGAGCCTCAAACCTCTCCTACCCCTCTCGCCTGGAATTCTTCAGGTGTCAATGATCTTGTTCTTGACATGAACTTTGCTTTCCCTCTTCCCTTCGGGCCTCTCTGCTCTCACTCTTGCTTTCCTCAGGCAAGAGGGATCCACGACAGATTTCCCCGCAATGCATCCTGACGTATCGGAACCAGTCCCTTTCAACCTCAAAGCGCCCCCTCGACTTCCTTCTACAGTTCGCTTTAGCTTGTTGTTCATCTCGTGCGTGCATCTGATCTTTCCGTATCTTTCCGTGCTTCGATCTCGCTTTCGGCACGTGCGGCGCCCCCACGCCTGGATGTGTGCCAGCAAGAGACGCATGGCCGTGTGGGGTACCCGGTGTGGAAGTCTCGGTGAGTCAAGAAACCTGGGTCTGCCAAACCGCAAGGCACATCAGCAGCTTGCTTCTAGCACGGTTGGCGATTCGGCCATGAGCATGTGACAGAAAAGCGAGCGCGATCTGCAGCAAGGCATAGCAAGGCTTGCGTCGCAGCGGTGCATCTGGGTAAGCTCGTGCCCCGCGGAACCAGCCCAACATCCTGCAGCATTTTTGTCGGCTCAGCTCTTTTAGAAGGGAAGTCCTGTCCCACCCGCATGTTGCTGCGCCTATCAGCGATTGGTCTATGCCAGCTTGCGCTGGCAACTTTCCATCGGAGCCAGTCCTCGTCCAATCTGTCCACGTGCCCTCCGTGTGACATCGACGACTGGAATGATGAGAGCTTCAAGCAGTGCAACTTCTGGGGTGACCCTCACATCACCTCCAGCTATGGTGATCTGGATGCTTTCGACTTTCAGGGCATCGGTTTGTTCAAGTGGGCGGTGTCCAGTGGATGCGGCTACAAGTTCCAGGTGAACGCCTTCACATGCAGGTACACGCCGCGGCTTTGGAGCAACAGCATCACACGCTATCTGGCCATTCAGATGGGTGACGACATCATCTACATCAACAACACCAATGTAGGCGGCCTCCTCAGAGGGATGCGATGCCAGCTCTCGCTGAAAGACTGGCCTTTTCAGAGCCCCTTCACCAAATCCAGAGAGCCCCCTTGACATCCCTTGACATCCCTTGACATCCCTTGACATCCCTTGACATCCCCTGACCTCCTTCGAATTCCTCCTGAAGTCACTGAATGTCACTGAACAGGTGGCAGCGGCCTGGACATGGTGGATGACCCGACCTTCAGTCGTGCAACTGCCGGTGTCAACATCCAGAGCCCGGACAAATGCTTCCGAATGAATGTGAACGTGAAACCGCTTGATGGAGGCCTTCGTGCCTCGGAAAGATGATTTTGCCAGCAGAGAGTGTACCTCCCCGTTTGCGGCTGCCGCAAAACAAGGCTGGTACCACAATGTGAAGCTCCGCATTTTCAAGGATGTCTTGGAAAAGGACGTCTTTGTTCTGGTAGAGCATGGTAGAGCATGTAGAGTGTAGAGCCTGCACCAAGACATGTGCACTAAGCGTCAATGGCTCTGATAGGATGGCATCTGCGGTTCATCCGATCTGCTCGGTCAGTTTCTTGGCGGAATCGCAAGCTTCACATTTGTAAGCGTGAAGCACAATTCAAGACAAACTGAAGGAGACTGAAGACAGTACAACCAAGGCTCGTGTATTCTGACGATTCCGACACGCTCTTCACGGACGAGCAGCTCACCGAGATGTGCACCACCTGCACGGATCCGAACGCGCCGCCTCCGTTGGGTTGTCCCGGGACTGGGCCTGGCACTAACAGCACCCCGTTTGCAATATGGCAGCTTGCACACAGCGCAGCCACATTTGGCAAATTTATGGCCACATTTGCGATCTTCAGGTCCAGGTTGCGAGTTCATGAGCCAGTCCAGCAACCTGAACAGTTTCGAGTGCACAGAGGACAAGCTCCCGAAAGATGGGAGCTCCGTCGAGGCGGGCAACCTGAGCACGTACCAAGGTTTGACCAAGAACGGAGACCACTGTCTAGCCTACGTCAAGACAAAGGGAGGTGGCTCCAGCGCCAGCTGCGCGCAATACTGTGAGGATATTGGCTCGACATGCGTGGGTGTGTGGGATCAACTTTCTGGTACGACCTGCGCATTGGATCCAATCAATATCACCGTGAATCACGGTGCAACTTGCCACAACCGCGCTGGCCTTCGGGACATGCTCTGCATTTGTGACAAGCCTAGTCCTGACAATCCCTTTCCTGGCCCTTCCCCGGGACGTGTCTGTGGGAGTGCCGAGTCCTTCAACGAAGCCGTGGACCTCTGCAAGGTTTGCCTCCCAAATGCTGAGTTCACAGACGCGCCAGTCGCCGAACAAGACAAGCGCCTGAGAAGTTGTGTCATCGACATCTGTTCCCTCCCGGGTACAGCCACCCTCGACGACAAGGAAGCCATCGCCGAGAACTCCTGTGAGCAGGACCCCGATCTCCCGCCCGACGGGATGAAGGTCTGCTCCGCGGCGGGGCCTCTTGCCTACTCTGAGACTGTGTCAGCTGGTCTACGCATGTCACCATATCATTCGCAACGTGCACACACAACGTACATTCACGCAACATCTTTTTGGGTACTGGAGCAGCTGGAGGTTCTGCGAAGCCATCTGCGTCGACAACCTCGTGTTCCCAACCATTGGCGTCGCCTCCCAAGAGACCAACACAACAACGCCTCGCAGGAAGGACTTCTATGACAGTGCCTGCCATGTTAAGAAGTTTGGTGCTGCGCCTTTTTTTGGATGTTTGTGTCCACTCCTAGGTCAGTGCCTGCCACGGCCTCTGCAAGCCTATCTTCGAGTCCAAGGTGAAGGGCGGTCTCCGGGGATTCTGCGACTACAAGGACACCTGCTCTGGCTACGACTGCAGCTCCTGGGCGGAGGGAGAGGGAGGAAGGGCCTTCTTTGTTCTCGTGCTTCTCTGGGCTTTGGTTCGAAGTGGGCGATATCTATTATTGTCTACTAACCCGCCCAGGTGACTCGTCTTACTACTGCCCGCTGCTGTGCCAGAGCTTGGAGTGCGACCAGAATGTCCAGGACTGCGATGGGAGAGTTCTGGGGCCTGAAGCCGTCTTCACAAAATATCCTTGAGGGCTCGGGGGCAGGGATAGGCATGGCAGACTCCGAGGACGGATGTTCTGGGTGCGAACAACGGTGCGCGGATCAATTCGCAGATGTGGACGACATCCTGGAGGAGTACTGTGACGATTGTTACTCAGTGCCCACGAGTCCGAGCACTTGCGACAAATCCGGGTGCCTTGGCTGAACATGGGAACAACTCGAAAGCGTCAATCAGGTAGAGACAGTGCTCTGGCGGGAATTGTAGAAGACTTGGAGAAGTTGCTGAGAAGCTGCAGCCATGACTCTAATCTCTTATCTCCTCACCGTCTCAGATTTTGCGCAGAGTATTGCAAGAGCGACGAGAATGGCAACAACCCGCTCCACTTTGACCCCGCTGAGTGCATTGCCTTTTGTACCAGTGATGCCGGGTACAACAGCATTATCGGCATCGTGGAATCCAAGTTCTGCCCGCACTCGAACAGCATTAGCGCCGGACAGGCGAGAACAATATGCAAGACTTCCCCCAGTCTCTGCAGGATTCCGTCAACAAGAAAATCTTGTTTCAATCCATGTGCCGGTGCAGTGAGGGGGGCTACCGGCTTGGGAGGTCTTTTCCAAGAGTATTGTGGCACCTGCAGAGGTAGTACTACCCCTGCTATTACCACCGTCCCTGCCACTACCACCACCGTCCCTGCCACGACCACCACCGTCCCTGCCACGACCACCACGACCACCACGACAAGCACCTCGACAAGTACCACAACAACCAGCACCACCACCAGCACCACAACCAGCACCACCACCAGCACCACCACCAGCACCACCACCAGCACCACCACCACCAGCACCACCACCAGCACCACCACAACATCGACAACGACCACAACAAGCACAACGACGTCGACCACCACCACAACAAGCACAACCACTACCTCTACCACCACGACCACCACAACAAGCACGACAACAAGCACGACAACAAGCACGACAACAAGCACGACAACAAGCACGACAACAAGCACGACAACTACGACAACCACCACCACCACGACCACCACCACCCCCACCACCACCACCCCCACCACCACCCCTACCACGACCACCACTTCCACGACTTCCACAAGCACTGCGGAAGAGGTTCCGACCACAAGCACACTGGAGGATACCACGCCTTCCCCAACAACGTCCACTCCTGGTGCCAACATCTCCATTTGTGATGACAGAGGGTCCCTTGTGCTGCAGAAAAGGTCTCACACTAGATTCACTAGATTCACTAGATTCACTAGATTCACTAGATTCACTAGATTCACTAGATTCACTAGATGTCTTGATTGTAGCCCTGCAGAAGAGTTGTGCAAGCAAGAATAGATAGAGCAGCGTCGCAGGTTTGACAGTCACTGAGGATAAGAACATGCAGCTGACTCATGTAGCACATTCTGCAGGTGTGTTGACATGAGCTGCACATCTTTGAGAGGTTTTGTGACGCAATTTGTGACATTGGCTTCGCTGGTGCCCAGTGCCGGGCAGACTGTGGTGCGGAAGCGCGGAAGATCACTCGCACGTTCTGCAGATGTGGCGTGTGCTCCCACAGCATGCTCCAGGAAACCGAGGAAGTGGGCCTTCTGCACTTCCGTGCCCCTACGCCTGGGGCACCCGAGCTGGGCGGCGAGCTCAGCAGCTGCCGCTGCCGCGCCTCGGACTTGGGAAGGCCTCTTTTCAGACTCTTCGTCACTCCCACACACTTGTCCCTTCCGTTCCGCTCTCCACCGTTCTTCTCTCCCGCTTGTTGCTTAGGAAACCCCTCGTACTACTGCAAGAAGCTCTGTGATGATGGCTTCAAGCGCCATGGTGACCGCGAGCTTGTTTGCGTGGAGAGCTGTCTGGTGAAGTTTCCGGAAGTGCTGCAAGTCCTGGAGACCTACGAAGACACTTGCCCAGCATGCCAGGCCCGTGCCTAATGTTCGGAAGCCCCGTGCCCAGAAGATGGACACAGACATCACGGCACGGTCGTAGATTTGTTTTGCGAGGCCAGGCGAGGTGATGATGACAAGGGGGACCGGGCTTGCGTGCTGCGAGGGTGGCATGTCTTCGCTCTGCCATGTTGTGTCAACATGGATCAGACATGTAAGGGCCTCCCAAGCTCTGGTCTCTTAGCACGTCGTAGCACAGGCCAGAGAAGAATAAATTATAGCATGCTCTCTTTATGCTGTCCTGCGCAGGACGATGACAGGAGGAACGATGACGACAAGAAGAGGGACAGTGGTGGGGCCTTCATGTCGGTGGTACGGCGCATTCACATTCTGCCGTTTCATGATGGCACTTTCCTGGTGGATGCACATGTGGAGTCACTGTTTTTGAAGACTGCAATCCTATGCTGTGAAAGTACGATCGCATCAATGCTTGTAGATGGCAGAAGGAACAAGGATTGAAGTCTGGTTGCTTATGCTGTGCCAGTACAATCGCCAACAATGCTCGTAGGATGATGACAAAAGGCCGGATGACGACAGGAAGAAGGACATGTGGAGCCGTTGCTTTTTTGAAGTCTGCAATCGTATGCTATGGAAGTACGATCGCACCAATGCTTGTAGATGGCTGAAGGAACAAGGACTGTAGTGTGGTTGCTTATGCTCTGGAAGTAGAATCGCAACAATCCTCGTAGGATGATGACAGAAGGCCGGATGACGACAGGAAGAAGGACATGTGGAGTCTTTGTTTTTGAAGTGTGCAAGCCTATGCTGTGGAAGTACGATCGCAACAGTGCTTGTAGATGGCAGAAGGACTGAAGTCTGGTTGCTGTGGAAGTACAATCGCAACAATGCTTGCAGGATGACGACAAAAGGCCAGATGACGACAGGAAGAAGGACATGTGGAGTCTCTGTTTTTGGAGTCTGCATCATATGCTGTGGAAGTAGAATCGCATCAATGCTTGTAGATGGCAGAAGGAACAACAGCTGAAGTCTGGGGGCTTCTGCTGTGGAAGTACAATCGCAACAGTGCTTGTAGGATGATGACAAAAGGCCGGATGACGACAGGAAGAAGGACATGTGGAGTCTCTGTTCTTGAAGTCTGCAATCGTATGCTATGGAAGTACAATCGCAACGCACCGACGTGCTGTAATCGCGCTCGTTGGGAAAAGACGCAAGTCTATTATCGTTTCATTCTTTTTGCGGAATGCGTTTCACGTGGCCTGCGTGGTGCAAAAGCAACTTGGGCATTTGTACAGATCGTGAATGTTCTGGTGGAAGCACGACTTTTTTGGGTTAGATTGTTGTCTATTTTTCGGAAAAAAACGTGCGTTTCGCGTGGGAGGTCCTTTGCACGGGATTTTCGTTTTTTTTTTTTTTCTTTCTTTTTTTTTTTTGTTGGGTCAGGGCTGTGGGCGGCGGCGAAGCCGGCAAAAAGCACATCTACAAGGTAAAAAAGTGACCATTCGCATGCACTGGTCACAATCATCGTGCGGACATGGATGCTCTGGCCATTGGCACGCACTGGTCTCACAGACCTAATCATCGCGCAGACATGGTGCTCTGGCCACTCGCACGCACTGGTCACGCAGACGTATAATCGTCATGCGGACACGAATGCTCTTGCCATTGGCACGCACTGGTCACAAAGACGTAATCATCGTGCGGACATGGATGCTCTGGCCACTCGCACGCACTGGTCACGTAGACGTATAATCGTCATGCGGACATGGATGCTCTTGCCCTTGGCACGCACTGGTCACAAAGACGTAATCATCGTGCGGACATGGATGCTCTGGCCACTCGCACGCACTGGTCACGCAGACGTATAATCGTCATGCGGACATGAATGCTGTTGCCATTGGCACGCACTGGTCACAAAGACGAAATCATCGTGCGGACATGGATGCTCTGCCCGTTCGCACGCACTGGTCACACGGACGTAATTGTTTGTCTGCCAGAACGACGAAAAAGAAGCGAAAATGCCGCAAATCACGTGGTTTCAGCATGTCACGCGCACGAAACACTGTAAATAGCGATGGAATCGGCATCTGCAAAACGCGCGTTTACAGCACGCCGGAGCCAGTCGCAACAATGCTTGTAGATGGCAGAAGGAACACGGTCTGAAGTCTGGGTGCTTATGTTGTGGAAGTACAATTGCAACAATGCTTGTAGGATGACGACAAAAGGCCGGATGACGACAGGAAGAAGGACATGTAGAGCCTTTTTTGTTGTTTTTTTGAAGTCTGCAAGCCTAGGCTGTGGACGTACAATCGCACCAATGTTTGTAGATGGCAGAAGGAACAGGGACTGAAGTCTGGGTGCTTATGCTGTGGAAGTGCAATCGCAACAATGCTTGTAGGATGACGACAAAAGGCCGGGTGACGACAGGAAGAAGGACATGTGGAGCCTTTGGCTTTGAAGTCTGCAATCCTATGCTGTGGCAGTACAATCGTACAGTGCTTGTAGATGGCAGAAGGAACAACGGCTGAAGTCTGGGTGCTTCTGCTTTGGAAGTACAATTGCAACAATGCTTGTAGGATGACGACAAAAAGCCGGGTGACGACAGGAAGAAGGACATGTGGAGCCTTTGAAGTCTGCAAGCCTATGCTGTGCAAGTACAATCGCACCAATGCTTGTAGATGGCAGAAGGAGCAAGGACTGAAGTCTGAGTGCTTATGCTGCGCAAGTGCAATTGCAACAATGCTTGTAGGATGACGACAAACGGCCGGATGACGACAGGAAGAAGGACATGTGGAGCCGTTGCTTTTTTGAAGTCTGCAAGCCTATGCTGTGGAAGTACAATCGCACCAATGCTTGTAGATGGCAGAAGGAACAAGGACTGAAGTCTGGGTGCTTATGCTGTGGAAGTGCAATTGCAACAATGCTTGTAGGATGACGACAAAAGGCCGGGTGACGACAGGAAGAAGGACATGCGGAGCCTTTTGTTTTGAAGTCTGCAAGCCTAAATTGTGGAAGTACAATCGCACCAATGCGTGTAGATGGCAGAAGGAACAACGGCTGAAGTCTGGGTGCTTCTGCTTTGGAAATACCATTGCAACAATGCTTGTAGGATGATGACAAAAAGCCGGATGATGACAGGAAGAAGGACATGTGGAGCCTTTGTTTTTGAAGTCTGGAAGCCTATGCTGTGGAAGTACAATCGCACCAATGCTTGTAGATGGCAGAGGGAACAAGGGCTGAAGTCTGGGTGCTTATGCTGCGCAAGTGCAATTGCAACAATGCTTGTAGGATGACGACAAAAAGCCGGATGACGACAGGAAGAAGGACATGCGGAGCCTTTGTTTTAGAAGTTTGCAAGCCTATGCTGTGGAAGTACGAATCGTGCCAATGCTTGTAGATGGCAGAAGGAACAAGGACTGAAGTTTGGGTGCTTATGCTGTGGAAGTACAATTGCAACAATGCTTGTAGGATGACGACAAAAGGCCGGGTGACGACAGGAAGAAGGACATGCGGAGCCTTTGTTTTTTGAAGTTTGCAAGCCTATGCTGTGGAAGTACGAATCGTGCCAATGCTTGTAGATGGCAGAAGGAGCAAGGACTGAAGTGTGGGTGCTTCTGCTTTGGAAGTACAATTGCAACAATGCTTGTAGGATGATGACAAAAAGCCGGATGACGACAGGAAGAAGGACATGTGGAGCCTTTGTTTTTGAAGTCTGCAAGCCTATGCTTTGGAAGTACAATCGCACCAATGCTTGTAGATGGCAGAAGGAGCAAGGACTGAAGTCTGGGTGCTTATGCTGCGCAAGTGCAATTGCAACAATGCTTGTAGGATGACGACAAAAGGCCGGGTGACGACAGGAAGAAGGACATGTGGAGCCTTATTTTGAAGTCTGCAAGCCTATGCTGTGGACGTACAATCGTACCAATGCGTGTAGATGGCAGAAGGAACAAGGACTGAAGTCTGAGTGCTTATGCTGTGGAAGTGCAATTGCAACAATGCTTGTAGGATGACGACAAAAAGCCGGATGACGACAGGAAGAAGGACATGTGGAGCCTTTGTTTTTTTGAAGTGTGCAAGCTTAGAATGTGGAAGTACGAATCGTACCAATGCTTGTAGATGGCAGAAGGAACAAGGACTGAAGTCTGGGTGCTTATGCTGTGGAAGTACAATTGCAACAATGCTTGTAGGATGACGACAAAAGGCCGGGTGACGACAGGAAGAAGGACATGTGGAGCCGTTGCTTTTTTGAAGTCTGCAAGCTTAAAATGTGGAAGTGCAATCGCACCAATGCTGGTAGATAGCAGAAGGAAAATGGACTGAAGTCTGGGTGCTCATGCTGTGGAAGTACAATGGCAACAATGCTTGTAGGATGACGACAAAAAGCCGGATGACGACAGGAAGAAGGACATGTGGAGCCTTTTCTTTTGAAGTCTGCAAGCTTAAACTGTGGAAGTGCAATCGCACCAATGCTTGTAGATGGCAGCAGGAACAAGGACTGAAGTCTGGGTGCTTATGCTGTGGAAGTACAATTGCAACAATGCTTGTAGGATGACGACAAAAGGCCGGGTGACGACAGGAAGAAGGACATGCGGAGCCTTTGTTTTTTGAAGTTTGCAAGCCTATGCTGTGGAAGTACGAATCGTGCCAATGCTTGTAGATGGCAGAAGGAACAAGGACTGAAGTCTGGGTGCTTATGCTGTGGAAGTGCAATTGCAACAATGCTTGTAGGATGATGACAAAAAGCCGGATGACGACAGGAAAAAGGACTTGTGGAGCCTTTTTTTGAAGTCTGCAAGCTTAAAATGTGGAAGTGGAATCGCACTAAAGCTTGTAGATGGCAGAAGGAAAATGGACTGAAGTCTGGGTGCTTATGCTGTGGAAGTACAATGACAACAATGCTTGTAGGATGACGACAAAAAGCCGGATGACGACAGGAAGAAGGACATGTGGAGCCTTTTCTTTTGAAGTCTGCAAGCTTAAGCTGTGGAAGTGCAATCGCACCAATGCTTGTAGATGGCAGAAGGAACAAGGACTGAAGTCTGGGTGCTTATGCTGTGGAAGTACAATTGCAACAATGCTTGTAGGATGACGACAAAAGGCCGGGTGACGACAGGAAGAAGGACATGTGGAGCCGTTGCTTTTTTGAAGTCTGCAAGCTTAAGCTGTGGAAGTGCAATCGCACAATGCTTGTAGATGGCAGAAGGAACAAGGACTGAAGTCTGGGTGCTTATGCTGTGGAAGTACAATGGCAACAATGCTTGTAGGATGACGACAAAAAGCCGGATGACGACAGGAAGAAGGACATGTGGAGCCTTTGTTTTTTTTTTGAAGTCTGCAAGCTTAAATGTGGAAGTGCAATCGCACCAATGCTTGTAGATGGCAGAAGGAACAAGGACTGAAGTCTGAGTGCTTATGCTGTGGAAGTACAATTGCAACAATGCTTGTAGGATGACGACAAAAAGCCGGATGACGACAGGAAGAAGGACATGTGGAGCCTTTGC